ATTTATATTAATATTAATTTATCTTTTATATTTTGATTTTATTATTATATCATTGATTATCATTTCTCGTTTTATTTATCATTTATTCTTATTATTCTTTTGTTCTATATTCTATATCATCTATTCATATCATTTTCATTTATATTTTATCACTTATTATATGTTATAATAACATAACACATATGATTGATTATATAATAAACATCATAATGAAATTATACATATAAATAATAAACATAAAAAATAATAAAATATTTTTCATTAATAAAATATTGTTAATCATTTTAAATCATTAAATTAGACACTTTTATTGAATATTTCTAATTTTTACATTAAAAATACACCATTTTCATTCTTTTCTTCTTTTATTACATCTTTGTGATTTATTATTTTTATTTCTTCTTCTACTTTCTTTTTATTCTTTTATATATTTATATTCTTTTTATATTATTTGTTTTTCGTTGTTTTTATATTTCTTTCTTCTATTATTTATCAATTTTATATTCATTCTTTCTTTCTTTTTATTTCTTTTTTATTAATTCTTGAGTATTGTATATTTCTTTATTATTTCATTTATGTATTATCAAAATATATGTTTTATTGATTTTATGTTGAATAAAATATTGAATAAATCAATATTTTCATTCTTAATTATTCATTCTTTATTCTGAAATGTTGTGTATATTTATTATATTAAATTAATATGATGAATAAATATCAATATTATTGTTTATTTGATTTTAAAAAATAATAAATGAATATGAAATAATAAATGAAATAAAATAATGAAATGATAATGAAATAGAATAATCTAATATTGAACAAATCGAATAAAGAATATATTGAATATATCATTATTGTTACATTATTATTTATTATTTCAATTATTAAATATTAATAAATTATTATTCATGAATATTTAATTGATATTTTACAATTTCATTTTCATTTTATTTAATAAATGAAATATAAATAATGAATGAATGAATAATAATTTAATATATGAAATAATAAAAAGAAAAGAAAGATAAATAATAAAGAAATATGATGTATTTAATATATAATATAATTTATTATCAAATATAATAATATCAAATGATGAATTATTTTTATTTCAAAATATTTTGCATCAATAAAATATGTTGCTAAATATTTTGCATCATTAAATTTTGCATCATTAAATTTTGCGCTTTTTTATTTGTTTCAATAAAATTTGCATCCTTTATTTTTTTCATTCTTTTCTTCTTTTATCATCTCTTTTCTTTTATTACACTTTATCTTCTTTCTTTTTATGTTCTCTCCTTTCTACTTTTATTCTTTCTTCATCATATCAAACTTCTTACTTTCTTTTTATTCTTTTATATCATTCATTCTCTTCTTTTTCAATTATTTGCTTTTTTTCGTTGCCGATGTTCATCATTAACATCAGTTACTATACCATCATCAATACATTCATTAGGAGACAATTGTTTTAGAGGATGTTCAACATTAAAGTCAATTAATATTCCAAAGACAGTTAGTAAACTAGGAAATGGGTGTTTTGAGAGATGTACGTCATTAAGTTTAATTAATATACCAAGAGGAATAAAAGAAATAGGAGGTGGATGTTTTTATGAATGTTTGTCATTAACCAGTATGAATATACCGACAACAATTAGTAAAATAGGAGGGACATGTTTTAATGGATGTAAATTATTGAAGAACATCAATATAAAAAATATTCAATTTATTAGTGGAAATAGAATATTTTTAAATGAACCAATTTTATTGAGCATTAGAATACCAGAAAATATAAAAGAGATTAACAGAAATGAAATTAAACAAAGAGATATTAATGAATTTATAATACCAACAACAATCACTAAATTAACAGATGAATGTTTTAGTGGATGTACTTCATTACGCTCATTTAACATTCCTACAACAGTAAATGAATTAGGAAGTTATTGTTTTTATGGATGTTCATCATTAAAATCAATTATTATTCCATCAACAGTTAGTATAATAGGAGATGAATGTTTTAAAGGATGTTCATCATTAACATCAGTTACTAAAACACTAAAAGAATCGAATGAAGAAAATACAAAATGTGTTTTAGTGTAACAGATAATTGAATCAACTACCATTTTTATATTTCAATATATTCTTCTTTTAACTCTTCTATTTTATTATGAATGTTGATTATTTATTCATGTTTAATTATTACCATTTCGACTTTAATACCTCTCTTATTTCTATAAAGTAAATTTCATTTAAGAAAGTTATTCTACGAGTTGAATTTATTATAGTAATGATTGAATTGTTTAGTTTCTCATTAAGTAATGTTATTAAATGAACAGTGTAATTGATGTTGTTATTATTTGTTGTTTCATATAATAATTTTAACATCAAGAAACTATTAAATGATTTGAGTTGAACATTACCACAAAATATATTCTTCATTATTTAGTTAAAATTCTCTTGAATAAAACTAGTAATTTAATACACATTCAACATACCTAAATAAATATTTCATTACAAATTGAATTATCTTCAATCACTTTGAATTTACATTAATAACGTTATAGAGATATAAAAAATAACAAAAGAGTATTAGAAGTAACTAAAAATTATGTAATGATAAAAAGAAACACACAATCAACTAATATTAATCATAAATGTGTATTAGATAAAAATTCAAAGAATAGAATGAATAAGAATATAAATGAATTTATATAAATTGGTATTTTGAGTAAAGAATAAAGTATTTTATGTTAATAATAATTAAATGGCAGTATCATATAAACATATTATAAATATGTATAATTTATTAGAATAGTTTGTACAAGAAATATAATTTCAAATTTATTGAATAAAAGAAGTGTTATGTAAGTTTGAATGTGGTGTAATTTCATTGAATAATTCAAAAGTATTTACAGCTAAATTCAATAAGTTTTTTTTATTTGGTATTATCTTAGTATTTCAGATAAATATCATCAAGACAACATTCAACAAAATGATATGTCATTATTAAAAATAATAATAAACAAAATTAATGAAAATAAACAAAAATAACAGAATGAAACAATGAAACTTTATTGGTGTGTCATTATCTTTGTTATTGTTTTACATTAGAATAATTCATAACACTAATTTGAATGAACTGAATAAATTATATGATTCTTTTGTTCAAAACACTTCATTAATCTTTGTAAAACATCACAAAATCATCAAATATTCTTCAACTTTTAATAAAAACATAATGAATTAGTATTTACACACTATCACTCAATACTTTCATGACTTTCAAGTAAACAGAAGTATGTATTACCAAAACAAAAGCTTTTAATTTTTCATTGACTCTTATTCTATAATTTATTCTCAACAATTCATACAAAACTTTCTACTGTGTTATGCATTTGTCATGAAAATAAAGAATACCATCACAATCTTCACAACTACATTTTGTCACTATCATTACAACCACATACATTACATTATAACACATTTTCAGAAAATATTTATGTTATAATGATGTTCATCACAACATATCAATATCTATAATTTTTACTGTTTATTTTCATAATAAATATTGATGCTATGAATAATAAGTGAAAATAGAATATGAAATAAAGTATAAATCAATCAACTAACCATTGTGTTGTTTATTCATTTACGATAATTAGTAATATGAATTGATAATGAATAAACAGAAATAAACTCAACATAATTGAATATTCATTCTAAAAGAATATAAACTATAAAACTCATGTAAAAACAAAAAGAGATAACAACTCTAACATATGAACAAAGAGTTATAGAGAACGACACAACAGAACAAGCAGAAGTCAATGACAAAAGATTAAATAGCTGTGTATATATCAACAATGAAATAAGCAAAACACATGAATTGAATTAGATGAAAGAAGAGAAAATGAAATAAAACCAAAGAATAGAATAAATATGAAAGATGTTATTTAAAAAATACATCAACAATTCATGTATTTCATGTATTTCATGTAAAAAGTAAGTAGTGTATAACTAAAAACTTGAATAATAATAACAAATATAACTGATATTTGATGAATGAGATGAAAATAAAGATAAATAATACTGAAAATTAAAACAAATCATAATAAAAAGATAGAAGTTAATTAGTTATATAATTTAGCAGAAGAATTTGATGTTTCTTCTCCTAATTGTTCAATCAATCTTTTAATTTCATTTTCATCTTCTGATGTAATAACCTTTTTGGATTGATTAATAACTCTTTCTAATTCACGTGTTTCAATCTTTTTCTTTAATAACTCTTTTTGAATGTCTTCTGCACTCTCTATCATTTCTTTTAATCGTTGTCTGTGAAGAAGTAATTGCTCTTTTCTCTTGTCTTCGGCAGCATGTTCTTCTCCTTCCTTAACTAGTCGATTGATTTCTTCTTCATTCAATCCACCATTACTTTTGACTTGAATCCCTGTTTTCTTTCCTGTTCCTTTGTCAAGTGCAGAGACTTTTACTATTCCATTGACATCAATGTCAAATGTAACTTCAATTTTTGCTACTCCTTTCTTTGCTGGTGGAATTCCAACCAATTTAAATTCTCCTAATTTTTTATTCTTTCTTGTAACTCTACGTTCTCCTTGAAACACTTTAATATCTACTTCTTGTTGATTATCCATTGATGTGGTAAATTCCTTTGAAACTGATGTAGGGATTGTTGTATTTCTATTGATTAATGGTGTCATCACACCTCCATATGTTTCAATTCCTAATGTTAGTGGTGTAACATCAACAAGAATAATATCCTTTTTCTTCCCTTCAATAATACTTGCTTGAATTGCTGCTCCAATAGCAACAGCTTCATCTGGATTGACATTTTTACTTGGTTTTTTTCC